GGACAGGAAACCACAGGGGCATTTCCGCTGGAAGACAATTTTCTCCTTGAAATTGTTTTAGTTATTTTTGCAATCTTGAAATGCAAAGTGTTTAATGGAAGACAAATATTTTGGTGTGCCATAATGGTCTTAGCTGCAATACATTCCACTAACATGCAGGTTTTAGCTCTTATTCCTAGTAAGTCAGAAAATATATTACCATTCCTGAAAACATTTAATGAAATTAAAGCACTGACTGCTACTAAAGCAATAAAGTGGTAACATACAAGTGAAACTGAGCAAGCTCTGAAACTACTAGCTAATACAGGAATATAACGTAGCACAAAAATACAAACAAAGAAGTAATTCCAGTACGTAGGAGAAATGCTGAATTATTACAATATACCAAACAGAGTAAAATCTCATTGAATTTTCTGCCAAACTCAAAACCATCCAATTAGCATTCCCTAGATTATTTGTTTAAAGGCTTCTCATGTCCAAAGCAAGACCTACATAAAAGCAATAAAGTAATTTGCTCTCTTAAGCTGCTACTTCCTCCAGGCCAAACAAACTAATCTACAGTGAAACGCTGTTGACTACTATGTAGGTTAATTCCTTGCATGATCATTACTCATTATAGTTTGAACTATTAGGGATAAGTTACACCTTGCCTACAGTACTGTTTAACTTTCTAGCCTCACAGGATTCTGAAAAAGGGATTAATGAACACCAGAGTGTGCTAATAATGCTTACAATCAGAAGTGACTACTTTCACAAATGACAGGGATATTTTGTATTCATAATTCCATCTAAAGGTTAACATGTGTTATCTTACTTGCATGTTGGAAACTAACAAAGGCATTGTGGCATGTGAAGACTGGAAACTTTCCTAAAGGTAAGTAGAGATTAATCAAGGGCAGGGCAAATACAGGCAACTCATATACCCAACTATTAGAACATCTTCAAGGAACATGCATCCAGTCAGAGAAGATGGGATGCCACAATCCAAAACAATGCTGGCACATTTTGAAGATTTTTTACAGCTCGACTCATTGTATTTCAATTAAAGCTCAGACTGTAGATGGACAAAAAAAATCGTCTCAGAGTAGAAAAGTTCAGGTGTAAAACAACACTCGCTTATTCAATGATAAAAGAGACAACCTGCAAAATCTATTATGGTTCTATACTCAATATTCTAGACCTGGTTGACCTACATTAAACCCTTTAAGGTTAACACATACAATGGCATACTAGTTACAGGAAATTGTGAGCCCTCGTAGAATAAAGAGCTACAGTACAATGGACCCATTTTGCTCTAATTTTCTTACTAGCACTTAATAAGTAAATGTACTTCAGTTTTAGAAAGATGCATGTCCCTAACCAAGCTTCTATGGCATTAGTTAGTACTTTAACTAGCAGGTCAATTAGAACCCCTAATCAGCAGCAAGATGTCCTACCTTCTTGCAGCCTGACCCACTTTCTAAAATAGCACATGGCTTGGTGACAAAACCTGATGCTCGGTACAGCACGAAAGGTGTCAAGAGCTCAGTTCCACTTTCTTCTCCAAATTCGAGATCAGCAAATGCAAGGTGAACTGATCTACTTCAAAATCTAAAAACAAGGTACTTCCCCTACAGTCAATACAGAAAAACAGTTGAAAAAAGACAAACAATAATAAGCATGTATGATATTAAAAGGGTAAGTTTGATTTTCTGTGGGTTTGTAAATACAAGTACAAAATAATGGGAGAGAAAGAAATCAATAATTTAGTCAGGAATTTCAAATTGAAAGAAAATGCTAGTTTACAATCTAGTTGAAAATAAAGTATTTTTTATGTGATACACAGCCCACCCCCCCCCCACCATAACCCAATTTAGTGAACTCAAACCCAAAATAAAAGCTACATTTGAGTTAATTTACACTTTACCAAAATATTAAATCTCCAAACTGACCACAAAACTGTATATAAAATTACATAGGTAGCATGAAAGCAGGCCATTTTGACCAACTGCCAGTGTTCATACTCCATATGAGCTTCCAAACCCCCGCCCCCCACCCCATACTCTCTATTCTCTTCTTACGATTCAAGACTCCTGTTAAAATATGTTGATGTGCATTGCTTCAAACATTCTAACCAAAAATAAATACACTGAATGATCAAATACAATAATCTAAACAGTTACACGTGCCAGCAGCTTTACCATGTTACAAACCGTGATCACAGCCATGGACCACTGTTTTGTTCATTACATTTGTCTATTCTAACCTCCCAGTTCCCAGCCTGATTAAGAAGTTTTTTTAAAAAAAGTATACAAAAGTTGAACTGATCTCCTTTAGTAAACATTCAGGATTACATTTTTTTCCAGGATATAAACATTTTCAATAAAATAGATCTAACTTAAAGAAACTAGATTGTGAGATTGTATGTGTTTTTTTAAAACAGTGAGGCACCTTGATTAGCTAAGTTAATCAAAGTCTAATTGGCAGAGCCTGGATCCAAGAGTTCCACCCCAGCAGCAGATGGAGGAGGGACAGTTGTTCTAGCACCAAGGAATCAAAACCAAACAGGCAAGACGTGCTCAGGGCAGTTGCTAAGCCAGATACAGGGAAAAGTCCAGGGTGTGCCGAGACAATAACCTCCAATTACAAGGGTAAGGCTACACTCACAGGCAGTAGCCTGAATCTTCACAGCAATCATTAAATCACAAACGTCATATCTGGCAGAGATACAGATGCCAAAACAATCTGCCTGGTCATCCAGTTCAAGATATGCAGCCTGGCAGTTACAAATCATGGGAATACCAGTACAACGCTTAAAAAAAAACACAAATTCATCTTACCAGTGTTTTGCAAATTAGGAACTCCCCAAGGGCTAACCTAAGGACTGTCAGTTACAAAGGTGTAGTTTCTCCATTTTATCTGATAATCAGTATTAATAATAGTCCTTGCATTTGATATAGAGCCTTATCACGTATTCGAGACTTCTCAAAGCACTTCACAGAATATACTGTAAAGTAAATCGACTGTATATTTTAAGTTTTCACTTAAATTTTCACCTGTACTACTTGTTGCAACATTGCTGACAGAACAATGAAAAAAATAAGCTTCATGAAAATGTCAATATTCATGTTCAGAACAGATTGTAAACTAGAATTTGATCCCTGGCGCAAAATTAATAGTGCCAATTCTAATCCACATTTACACTTGGCTTTAGCAATACTTAATGGATTGATGACATGAATAAGCTATTTATTTATTGGGGCAGGGAAGTGAGAATGACTGCAAAAATACTTTGGGAAACTGAGACTTGTTTTAACCAACCAGTTCAGTATTTTAAAAAAATACCACTTCCATCATAATACTGGGGAATTGGTTGTGGGAATGAAAAAAAATTAAATAGTATTTGAAACATCAGAGGAGTTATTTTAGACTAAGGCTGGCAAAGAATTCTAGGTACTCATCAGTAATGCTGAGTTTTTCTTCCATTTTTGAAATAGCAATGGCCCACAAACAAACGTGAAATGAATGACCAATTTTATTTGGGGGATTGCTGGCCAGGACAACAGGAAAAGCTCTCTTCAAATAGTGCCATAAAATCTTTAACATCAACCTGAACAGGCAGACAGAACTGTGCTTAGTGTCTCATTCAAAGGCAGTGCAGCACACTCCCAGAACTTCTGGTTCCTAGCAGTATAATACACCAAATCTAGAAAAGAAAGTTAATATGAAAGCAGCAAATTCCATGGTAGTGCACACACACACATCAATCAACCAACAGATTTTAGTGGTTTGTTGATAGAAAGGAAATGGATATGTAAAATGTATTTCATCAGAAGTCTTCAAGCTGTACACTCACAAATTGATACGCTTTGGGATACTTTCAACAGCTCGAAATCATAATTGCTCCTGGATCCCACATTAACAACAAATACTGGCTGGGACATTCCACTATTAACCTAAGCTTTTTTAAAAAAAAAACTACTTATATTGATTTGACAGCAAGTAAAGATATCATTTTGTATCCCATAGCTAGCCGTGATAAAAATGTGTAAAGTTCTGTGATATTAATAACATCATGCACCTGTTAGGAACTCCCCAAGGGCTAACCTAAGGACCGTCAATTACAGATGTAGTTTCTCCATTTTAGCTGAAAATCAGCAATAATAATAATCCTTGCATTTGATATAGCGCCTTACCAGGTCTTTGAGACGTCTCAAAGCACGTCACAGAATTTACCTTGCATATTTATTGCTGCAAATTATTAATAAGAATCCATGGATGCAAGAATACGTTGTTTGGCTTACGTGTTAATTTTATATCAGAGTGATTGCTAAATACTTCAGTCAGACACGACTATACAAGTACAGCAACAAAAACAGAAGTCGCTGGGAACGCTCAGCAGGGCAGGCAGCATCTATGGAGAAAGGAAAGTGAGTCACGGTTCGGGTCCAAGACCCTTTGTCAAAAAGATGCAAAATTTTAATTTTATTAAAACCTAATCCTTATACCACCCCAATGATTGTACATGTGTGGAGTGGTGGAGGAAAGGTAGAAAGAAGGATTTTCGTGTTCCCAATTATTATCTAACTCCTGTTTGATTAAGTAGACATTATCCAAGGACAGACTCTGGCTTGGCTATGGTGCCACTGTCACTTCATTTCCCTTCGCCCTAGCCTGCTCACAAAGCTTAGCTCACAAAGGCATCTTTCATAATTCAGTAAATGACACTGAAAACCATCTTGCACAAATAAACACTAAACAGCCATTAAAGAAGAACAATCAAACTTCACTAATAGCCTACCGACTGTTGGATAGCAAGGCTACTTAATGTGCAGCAATTGTCATACCTTCTGAAGCAATGTTTGCAGTGGGTTCTCTTGGATTTTTGCACAAACGCTGTGAAGCCATTATTGCACAAACTTCCATTTACAAGTGGCAAAAAAAGAATTGCAAAGCACTTTAGAAGTTACCATGCCTTTTGAAATACAAGTTTAAAAATGAAAGCGAGTCTGAGCACTTACCCACAGGAGTCTTAATTTTTTTGTTGTGTTTGATGGGTAAGTCTCAGATAGTGGTGGGGCGGGGGGGTAGAGAAAGAAAGAAGACAGGAAATGGAAAAAGTTTGTTTATAAAAAACATTAGCAACAAAGGGGTATTTCTCGATTTATATCAGCCCTGCAGTGCACATTTTGCTAAAGATTATACAAAATTCTCCACGGCCTCACAGATGGGAATTTTCCTTTCTTTGAATGTGAACTCGAGAAACATGTAGGGCCCAACTCATTCATTAAGTAAACATTCGTATCCCTACCATTTTTTGTTAGGACCGATATATCAGACAGATGATAATAATAGTGACATTCCATAAATAGATGGTCAGCAATTGTGATTTAATTTTTTTTCTTTCACACCCGCTTATGTGAGTTAATGAAAACTAACTTTTCAAAACTAAACTCTAAAAAAATCAAACAATAATGAGAACACTTGTAATTCCAATACTGTAACTTTGCAATCCATACTTTCGTCCTCAGCAGCAATACATTCTGCTGTAAATTCTCAATATCTAATATTATTTCAATCACTTTCTATTACTAGCCTATTGACTTTCTTCAATAGTTAGTTTGCAAGTGCTTGTTGTATAATAAACTTAATATGGCTTGTTAATAATGTTGTTGTTTACTTGCATAAATAAACTGAATCAGTCACTGTCAAGTCACATGATTCAAGTTCACTAAATACAATTTCATACACTTAATTTTGTTTAAGATTTTCAAACTAAATAGTAATTTACTTGTTCCCTAGAGTCACAGCTCTAATATCAGCAAATTACTATAAATATTTTATTTTAAAAATCCTCATTTCAGAAAGTATGCACAGGCTCATGACAAAAGGAATGTTCAGTAATGTTGATAAACTGTATTGTTTTATGCTACACGGGTATTTTCATTTCTCTGCACCACCACCATCAATTATTCAGGTTTTCTTCGGGGGAAATTATCAATATTTCTTATGGATAGTTTTAGAAACAGTTTCTTCCTGAAGAATTCTAGTCAGATCTCGGAAAAAAACAAAGGAAACAATTTGAGAATTAAAGGATATTATTCTTTACCTCAACTGTCCTCAAGCACCAAAGGGAATTGGATCTTTGTTCCTTCTGGACCAGTTAAGAGCAGACACAGATACATACACGAAAGTGTAAAATAACTGGTATGCCAACAGGAGAATGCGTGTCCAATGAAACTGTGGCAAACTGTTAAATGATAAAGATCTAAACCATGAATCTGTAAGCTCAGTGCTTGATTGCAGCAATAAAGGTTCATGGATTTACTACAACAAACTGCATTTAAATAGAGTCTTTCACTAGCAGGAGGGTGGAGCACAACAAGGATGCTTAATTATAGAGATTCTTAAATTGGTAAGAAAAATAGATTGATCCCAATTAGATATATATACTATGAACACATTATTTAGAATCCATAGCAAAAATAATAGGTTATATGAAAACATTTATGGCAATAGACCAAGAAGTAGGCAAATGAAAAATGTAGTTAAGTAAAATGATAAATGGCATAAACCATACAATTTATGTGTAAAGATCAGAAAGTAATAAGTGCACTGGTCATCAATTTGTTCTGGTCTCCAATTTTCAGGAGGAAGAACAAGTTTTAAAAAAAGTAAATTGTATAAGAAGGCCCTATCTGAAGAAATGTCTTGCATCTAGTCACCTCTTCATAGAAAAGATTACCCTTCAGAAGTACCGACAATCAGCAAATATGACTCCAGATATTAATCTATGTTACAAGGAGAGATTAAGGGCAGTGAACTTATTTTTGGAACATCTTTTGAGATGACCCAATTGGAGCTTTCAAGATTATGAAGAGGTCTGTGAACACATGCTCACATAGCCAAGAGTTGGTATCCATCATGCTGTAAACTAAGCAACTGCTGCTCAACCTCCACGTTTGCAACTAGTGTAACCTTCACTAAATGGGTAGGGATGCATGTCCAAGTTGTGGACAGGAAAATATGGCAACGCTCTCACCATTTAATGCTGAACTGTGCTACTCACCAGAAAGCTTGCAGGTGTACTTGTTATTCGACCAATTAATAACTACTCTCATGCACGGGGGAGGGGCTTCTTTGAGCCAAGTTGGCTCCAGAATTAGATGAGGCAAGTGCATCTCTCCTAATTTGTGCATTCCAGACAAAGGGAAATGTCTGCACATATGTGGCATACAAATGTGGAAGTTAGTCAGTCTGGCTTGGATACCGTTAAGCAAGGTGTCTTATTTCCATATGTGTCAATACACCCAGCTGAGCAAAAAAATACATCCTGGTTAAATGTGTCAACCTAACTCAGTTGGTAACACACTCACTTCTGAGTCAGAAGGTTGTGGGTTGTAGCCCCATATTGGGACTTCAAACTCCTATGGTCCAATGCAGCGCTGCAGGTGTGCGGCATTGTTGGAAGCGATGCCCCTCAAATGAGACATTAAACCAAGGCCCCGATTGCCTGTTCAGGTGGATGTTAAAGATCACATGGCACTATTCAAAAAGAGAAGGGAGTTTCTCTTTTGCCCAGTCCAACAATCCGCCAAAATAAAAAGAAACTAGTCATTGACTTCATGACTGTTTGTGGGGCATTGTTGCACGCAAAACTGGCTGCCACATTTGCCCTCAAATCACACTACCTTACAGGATATTCTGTGAAGCACCATGGGACGTCATTCTTAAAGACCAATATCTAAACAGCTAACATAAAACATATCTGTTCTAGCTGTTGTTCATCTGTTTTAAATTGATAGCTCTGGTTAATGCATGATTTCTGACTGTTTCCAATTATAAACCACAAAACAGAAAAAGATCCAGTCTGCTCAGTATGATTAAATTCAGTTACAATTAACCTTTTACAATAGTAATCATTGCATTTGATAAAGTACCTTATGTTGCAATTTCTCAAAGCACTTAACAGTTTCCTTGAAAGAAAAGCCAAAAGCAGCAGCTGATTTGCACACAGACTATCCCTCAAATAGTTATGAAATGGAAGGAGAAACTCCCTTCTGTTTTCAAATAGTGTAACAGAATCCTTAACATTCACTTGAATAGGCAGAAGACAGGACTTTTTAAAAAAAAAATCTCACCTAAAAAATTGTACTTTTCATAAAGCAGTGCTCTACGAGCACTGAATTGGAGTGCCAGCCGAGACTCTGAGCTCAAAGTCCCGATGTGAGACTTGAACCCATAACCTTCTGACCTAGAGGTCAATTTTATAAACTGAGCTAGGTTAACACGCACGAGTCTGACATTTAAAAAAACCTTAGCTGTGACTAAAGTTATTAGATACCACTTGATAAACCATGGTTCGATTTTTTTTAAAAATATGCCCGAAGAGTTTGCACTAACAAGCTTGGCTCAACTTATTTTTCTGCCTTACTTTCCTACATTTAGATTTTGTAGATAGGTGGCAATGTTGGATGAATGAAACATTTTTGAAACGCATCATAGTGAACTGCAAGACAATGTGCTGGAACAACTAAACTCTAAAAACACTACAGTAAGTTTTTAAAGAGATTTTTGGTATTTAACTTTATTTCCTGATTTTCCACAGACTCACAAAAGAATTGTTTTCTACCCCTTCCTCTTGTACAATGTATGAATGCACAAGTACAGACAACATTTTACACATGTTACCATTCTTCTACTGTAAGAACAGAAAACAGGCAATGCAACCAAGGGAAACATCAACAGACAAAGGAGATGCTGTCACTTTCCAGAAGGGGGGAGGAGTCACTAGATCGTGATCTGAATTGAAAACTCTGGCTGATCATTTTCTCTCCCTAAACCAACGATGCGGAAACCAATTTCAGCACCCTTATTGCAGAAGTCATAGAATTCAGCACAGTCCAGGAATCTTGGGATCTTCCTAGTTTAGACGGCTCAGTATTTATGTTTTTTCTGCTGAACTATCAAGGAAGCCAACAGATGTCATTTTTACTCTCCTCTCAGGCCATCTATATTCAATCAATTGGTCACTCTAATTAGCAAGCACCAGGTGATGCATGAAACAACCATCCACAATTTACCCTTGACCTTATGGAGAACATCTGGCCCATGTGTGAGCCAGACACAAGCTCACATCTGGAAGCTCCATTGCAGCATGTTGAACCTCCAAAACATTGTGCAAATCACCTAAAAGATCCAAGCACTACAGGATGATCCACATAATAGATGGGTTTGTTCAATTTTATGCAAGTATAAGTTAACCCCCACCTTTCCCCACCACCTGGGAACCCTTCAAGTTTAATATTGATGTAAAGGTTTAAGCGGTAAAGGCTGTTTCAGCGCTTTGGGATGCCTTCCTAAAGTGAAAGGCGTCATACAAATGTAATTTTGTTGTTGTTTGAAGGAGTCATGTTGCCCATTAAGATTTTTTTTTAAAAAAGCAGAGTACTGAGGTTAAGAGAACAGACATGAAGCTTAATAAACTAGATAGGGAGAACAGAATTAATATCAGCAAGGTACTGCAATAACTTTCACTACACATAACTTTTACAGATCACCCCATTAGTAAATACATTGTCTGATAATGCTGTGGCTTAGAAATCAGAAATCCCAGGTTCAATCCCTCATCTGTTTTGAGTTAACTAATAATTATTAGGGCAACAATTGGAGGCTATACATTTTTTTAAATGCCACTTTCAAGAGAGAACAGGAGAAAATATGAATTGTATTTGTCTAACTGAAGCAATTGTGCTTCTCTAACAAACTGAGCAGTCTCCGAGGTGACATGTTTGGCAATGGAATGTCAGAATCTAGTCTGTGGTGGTTTCAGTGATCCAGTTCCTGAGCCAGGAGGTGAACCGTATTCCAGGGCAATGCTGATGAGTCCAGCCAGCCTGGGTCATCTGCAGGATATGGAAAGGCAGACCAGTTCCCAGGGGCAGGGACACTTTCAGCTCAGCCTGATAGCCCTGCAAGAAAGCCCTTTCGGGTAACATGGCCCTAGCTGGACAAGCAGCTGGAAAACT